TTCCTGCTCAGGCCACCTCAGTCACCCTAAATCAGCAGCCACACGCTCTGCCCTGGCACTTCTGAATATCAAGGGGAAGGATGGGCCTTTTCCTGTGCTGGTCCCAGGGTTTGTGTTGGTGTTTGAGTTACATCGTTATTTTTTCAAGCAATACCAATGTAGCCAACGATGTATAGCGATTACCACCGTGGGAAGTATGCTGAAAGGTTCCATGTATCCTCATAAAAGGAAGCAGAAATCCAGCAAATTAGCCTTACTTCCTTGACAGTTTCGTGATGGGCCAACATTAGGTAAAGCTGAAATCAGGTGTAGAGATTAAAAGATTACAGTAACTCAAAACAGAAAGCCGCCACGTAAATTAGGAACATTCGCAAGGCAAGTCACCGGAGGTCACCTGGAGGTCAAGGAGGACAGCAGAAGCGGAGTGGGTTTGGAAAGAATGAAGCGGGCTCCACAGCCGGCTGCCTTGCCACGCAGCCTATCTCTTCCTGTCTCTTGGGGCTGCCTCGGGCCTCCCTGCCACGCCATCCAAACCAGGACTAGAAAAATGTGGGCAAGAGCACAGCCCTCCCTAGCCAGCCGGGCACTCTGGGAAGCGCTCTCATGCTGACTGGCGGGCCGCCCCCCCCCGGAACTGGCGGGCCGCCCCTCCTGGAAGGTCTGCACAGCCACCTGTAAGACTCGCTCTCGTGTGCAGACAGCCTTCCTGCGTTTCCTTTCCCCTAGATCCTCCCACTGAGCGCGGACGGGCCTGTCCCCAGCTCCTCACCAGCCCTGCTCTCCCAGGATGGCATCACCATCCTTCCAGGCTTCCCTCCCACATGCCACAGGCCCGTTCTCAGGCACCTCTCCGTTGCGTAATCTCTTGGGTAACCTCATCCTTCCCCACGCCGTTTTCCACTCCCTTCATCCAAGCCGTCACCCAGACCAGTGGCTCTCGGGTTTTTCTGCATCTTTGCTACAAACTAGATGGGGAAGGCCAGCAGGTGGTGTGGTGGTTAAGGTGCTGGACTCCCACATGGCCAACTGTGGTTCAAGTCCTGGCAGCTTAAGAATCACTCCAGGTCCGTGTGCCCAAGAGGAGAATGGAGAGGGGATCACAGCATGGCCATCCTCCTGGGGGGTGATTTCTCACTTTCTCTGTCTCTGTCTCTGTCTCTCTCTGGAAAGCACACATACCCTATGGCAAAAACCTTTTAAAAAAAAATCAGAGAAGGGTGGTAGTGGTGGCGCTGCAGGAAAACGTGATGCTCTGAGAGGCTGACCCAAGTTGGAAGGTCCTGGGTTCGTGCCCAGAGACCTCTCCGAGTACGTCCGACACCTGAGTGGCCATGATCTGGTTCAGTGAGGCAGGGGCAGATCGCAGCGCCGAGATCCTGTTGGAAGGTCCATCTCTCTGTCTCTCTCATTCATAGAAGAAAGAGGAAAAATAAACTTTAAAAAGTCCTTTTCAGATAATCCCACATCTTGGTCATCCCTTGTTGGTATCTGTCAACTGCTTTTTTCACTCAGTTTGAAAGCTCCCTGGTTCTCAGTATGGGCAATTCTCTGTTGAAATTTTCAAGTTGGGATATTATATTATGATCCTCATTAAATCTCCCCCCTCTTTTTTTCAGAGAGAGATTTTTGCTATAGGGTACATGTGAAACAGAGAGACAGAAAGCAAGAAATCACCCCCAGGGGCATAGCCACTCTGCCATTCCTTCTCTTCTACTCTTCTCTTGGGATTTTAGGCACACACACGCACCCAGCATACGTTTAAAGCTGCCTGATCCGGGACTCAAACTGTGGTCAACTACGTGGGAGTTCAGTGACGTAAACATTATGCCATCTGCTGGTCCCTTCTAAACCTCCCATTAAAACAAAACAAAACAAAACAAAAACAAAAACATTACAGGCACATGTACTCGCTGGCAAGACAGAGAGAGAAAAAAAAGTGTAACTGAGAAATCGCGCCCCCCAGGTGGGGGGATCGCTACTCCACAATCTCTCCTCCTCCATTCTCCTCCCACGATTTTGGGCAGGCACGCACGCGTCCCCAGTGTGTTTTTCAAGTCACTGAGTCTGGCCCACATCAGCTGTGTGGGATCCAGCCACCTTAACCACCACGCCACTGACTGGCCCAACTTGGGTCAGCCTTTTAACCGGCTTCCTCTTACAACAGAATGGGGACCCGCCTCACACTGGCCAGGTGGGGAGCAACATCCAGCTTCCCCACACCTCACCCCACCCCAGACAATGAGGAAGGAGGAGTGAGTCCTCCTTACATTGGGGAACGGGGT